CTTCTTCTTCTTCTTCTTCTTCTTTTTTAAGCCGGATTGCAAGCGTCTCTGTTGCTCTGAGCATTTCTCTGGCGGAGCAGATTTATTCCTAAAAGATATGTTTATAGAAGATAGTTATATAGTCTATGCCTTTAAAGCCTGACCAATCACACCACTGGCGCCTCTGTGCGTTGCCTCGCGCGCTGCAGTAGCTGGATTAAGTTTACCTCAGTGCGGATCCCACACGTCTCCTTTCACTGAAACTAGACACAGGCTGACCTGTATGGATATTTACATCAACCCCCTGTGAGGAATTATGATTCTTTCTAGAGTTTTTGATCAAGGTAGGACTCTAAAAACATCAGCACTTCTACCAGCTTCTGTGTTAGATTTAGTGAAATCTTGGAGAGAGGGAGTAGTTTAATTGGCCAACCTAAAAAGCAATAAGTTATAATTGCAGTTTATCAATTTGTATTTGTGAACAGGTAGCCCTCTTTGGTTTGTTTTGGAGTGTAATGGGGGGATGGTGACCTCTGGATGACCTAAAAAACAATTTTTAATATCTCAGAAACAAACTAGCATAAACAAAAATGTTAAAGGCACAAACTGCACTAACCACTCAGGCTTTTTGCTGGAATTTTTCATGTAAGTGGGATGTCGGCTTCACTTGGCTTAGTCTAAAAATATTGCATACAAACAGTTATTTTAGAATTTTGATATTTTGCACATTATATAAATAACAACTACTAGAGGATCATTCCATAATCTGTCCTTAATCTGTGGAGACATTAACAACTTTTAAAATTATTTCTCCTCTATTAACTTTCATATGGATATAATATCTATCCTTGTAAGTACTGATGCAGCTCTCTCTGATGTGCTCTGGTTCTGTCACTCTAGAGCCATTTAGGCAATGTTCTTGTCGACATGAAGCTGATTGATATAAAAGACACTTTGCCAGTGGGCTTCATCCCAATCCAGGAGACTGTCGACACTCGTAAGTCAGCAACCAGCCAATGGCATCAAAAGTCTAAAATTATTTTGATCTTCAAATGTTTGTGTTGAAACTCAATGATCACAGTAACCGTATTAGTCCTTATTACCGAGCCCCCTAGGGGATATGAGGAAATTTCTTTCCTTTTTTTTTTCCCTTTCAAAACTTTTGCGTTCTCTTGCAATAATGTACTGATCAGTTCATGCGGCATAATTGAATACTGTAAGCCTTTTCGGTAACACTTTATTTGAAGGGGGTTGAATAAGACTGACATGACACTGTCATAAACATGACATATCACATGTCATGAACATGAATAAGCCTTCATGAATATTTATGACTATTGTCATAAAGCGTCATTCGGTAAATAATGACACTTTTAATACAAAGTTGACATTATTTGAAATGTCTTTGTTATGACAACTTGACATTAACCAGGAAATCATTACTATTTAAACTTTACCTTTAATAATATAAAGTTACCTAATTTTTAAAGTGGAATCAGTAATTCTTTTATAACAAATTTATACCAGTAATGATTTCTTGGTTAATGTAAAGTTGTCATAACAAAGTCATTTTGAATAATGTCAACTTTGTATTAAAAGTGTCATAATTTACCAAATGACGCTTTATGACAAGAGTCATAAATATTCATGAAGGCTTATTGATGTTCATGACAGGTGTTATGTCATGTTTATGACAGTGTCATGTCAGTCTTATTCAACCCCCTTCAAATAAAGTGTTGCAGCCTTTTCTTACTGTGGACACTGTACTTTCTGCTTTAATATAAGGTTATGTGTGAGAGACACCGAATTTATTAGTTTATTTATTTTACTGTTTATGTGTATAATAGTTCACAGGTATCCCACCCAATTTGTTTTGTTTATTATAATAAGTTCATTCATTCTTCATTGTAGCTTGTTCATTCATTCAGAACTTGGTTTTGTGTCTGTCTTGTGCCTTGATCCTTGATACTGATATTTCCTATATGTTATTGAATGCGACTGTTGTACATGTGTTCCTCGAAAGTGCCGTTTGCGAGGCAGTGCACTGTTTTTGTTCTGCTGAGAAGCGTTACGCATCGAGTGTGACAAGCTGAGTTTTTGTATTAAGGTAAATAAAACCTTTTTTTTTATTCGCAAAGACAACTCCGGATGTCATCTGTGCCTGAGCCCAGCAACATATGTATGTAAGGTTTTTCCATCTATCTTAATCTCATTGTGAAACATCTGAAGTTTTATATCTTTTTCTTTAGGATAGAAATGCACCAAAAACCAATTATGTAAGCAGAAACTTTCCATAAGTAGGAAAGAATTACAAATATACATCCAAACTATTTTGACTATTTCTGAGTTACTACCGTGGGGTAATAAGTCATCTGACAGTTTTGATTGTGTCTTTTTTGTGTTGGTAGTCTGAGTGGTTAATAAAGGGCCGTTTCCATGTGCAGTTCAGTCGCAACCTTACACAGACATAAACATGTAGTGAATAAATCGATTTTCAATCAGTTTTTTGCACCAAAGAGTAAAGAATAAACACTGAGACTCTTTAAATGTGTATATATTTGAAATTTTAAATTAACATTTGTGACTGTATACAAAATAGACCAGCAAATATTGCAGTAAGCATATTGCGAGGGAACACAAGAGTTTTGCGAGGTAACGCAAAAAAAAAAAAAAATCCCCATGTCCCTTGGGGGGGGGCTCTGTACTTTATCACTTTTTTATATTTATTAGAGATTGTTTTGGTAGTACAGTGATACTGTGTCTTTTTTGTCCCTTACAGAGGAGCAGGCCTTCAGAAAGAGGCGGCTTTGTATCAAGTTTATTCCGAGAGATTCAACAGAGGCAGCTATCTGTGACATCCGTATCTTGGGACGAACCAAACAGGCCCCTCCTCAGTATACTTTTATTGGGTGAGCAATCTGATATCAGTTGTCAACTTTTGGGCAACAAGTTATCAAGAAAAAGAAGTCTGGGTTAAAGTATTGTTTACACAAATATTTAGACAGGATGTGTTGTATTGTAGCTAATGAGTTGTCACACTTATCAGAGTTCTGGTAGGAATGAATGCAAAAAGTTGTCTGTAACTGAAGCACCCAACAACTATATGTTTTGTTGGT